AACCTGAATACATATTGCGCCTCATTATCGTTAGTATCCTCCAATCTGCTCACAACTTGCTCCAATCTGCGCATTGTTGGACCAACGCTACTTGCTCGGAAAGGTGTAGCTGTTGCCGAGCGGTCATACCTGAGTTGAAATTGATTATGGGTCCCACAACGAAAAGGTTTTATGAGAGCGTTGCTAACCTCGCGTCGTTCTCGTTTTTCCATGCAGCCATATCGGGATGACAGCTTTGCGTCATCTCGCGTTGTATTGACGCTTCTCGTTCTTGACGCATTCTCTGCGTGCCTGGAACATCTTCAAGGGTGAAAATTATCTTGTCATCGAGGCATGGGAATCAGTGGGTTAAGGGAGATTTAGTGTCAAATATAGAAAATTTATTGCATACCTTAGTTCCAATTTCTCAGGAGCTATAATCTTATCTTTTTTATACAGTTGTCTGAAAGAAAACAATTTTCTCGCGTAATTGAGTCACCGCGCGAAAAGTGTGTGATTGCGGATCTCTGCGTCTCTACGAAAGTGGTGAAATAGTGCATAATGAGGAAGGCGCAGATTATGAGATAACGAGACGGTGGTTTCTAACTGTTTTCTATTAAGAAAGTTGTGTTCGTACGCGGATCAAGGACATTATATCGCCGATTTCTGTCTGCCTTTCTCCGCGTGGGCAACTGGTACGAGCTGTAAATGTGCTGGGTTGCAAGATTTGTAGCAAATGTCCGCGTGAACGGAACCTGTTACGACGAACGTCCTCTACCTCTTGCAGCCTGGGGACATGTCTTAGATACATAATTTAATGAACATGGAATAACTCACCATGCAACTCGGCCATCACTTCCGCTGGCAACTTTCCAATTCCTGGTTTTTCTTTCTTCTGCGTTGGTGTCGTGACACGATCGTTTATACCGCTGCCGCCACCACCGCCACCGCGCACCGTCGATGACGATTCATTGTCCCATGGATCGCCCGCGTCCCTGCCATTTTTAGCACCATCAATTCGTACTGTTTTTGGGAATGGTGTGGGTGGCGGAGGTGGTGGTGCAGGTGGTGGATATGATGCTACATGCTGCTCTTCTATGTTAGGGCTAAAAGCAAGAAGGAAAGGGTTTTAGATAAACCGAATTTCTACTAATGTTAATCTACATATTGACGAGTTATAGCATGCAGAGATGGACCCCATCGCGTCCACCTAAGGTAGTTCGTGAGCGAAAGAGACGCAGACGGTAAGAGAAGCGAGAGAGTGCTCGATGAAAGAGACGCCGACAGCTTCCGCAGTAGCATCCTGTCTCTGCATGCGATAAATCGCCTGGTAGTGTTACTGCCAAAGCAAACGCGGAAAGCAGGTACCTGTACTCTCTACCATTCCTTGCTTCCCTGTCTAGGCTCGTATCGGTATACTTTTGCGCTGCTGGAGGAGTTACCGGCTCGAAACCATAGGCGGGCTTCTCGGGCGGTGGTGGTGCTGTGTACATTCTAGGCATTGCAATTGGTGTTTGACGTTCGTCTGGTGTTGGTGTTG